ATTGTTTTTGTCTCAACAGACCTGTCTGTTGAGCACTCAGTTATCTCAACTACTTGATTTGTTACGAGTATTGCTAGTAAAGAAAGACTACTTTCTCGTTTTTGACATCAACTACATTCTGCATTTAGTTACTTAGTAAGACATGTTGTTGGTATCTGTCAAAAGCCTCCAGCTGGGCACTTCTGGCGGTTTCTCCATATGAAGAACCCATTCGTTTAACAGCAATCCATTCCATATTCCGTGGTTGGTGCTAGACTTTAAGGATGGTGTGAAGGCATTCCTTAACATCTACTTTTTCGTGTTGAATGAGGTGATTGTGGTCGTTGAACGAACAACGAAGTGCTACCAGGTGTAACGGTGCCCAATTCTTACCAGATAATTGGTTTATCATTTACCGATACAGTACAAGAGTGTGCGCTTCCCTTTACGAACACTATACGTGCAGAGAAAGTGAAACGCAGAAACTCTTGTATATAAGGGAAGGAAAATAAAGTTATACATTGATATAGTTAAGCCTCGTTCATAAACTCTCTTTATCTTACTGACACTTTGTGTAACTACAAACTTTTAATATAGCAATCTTACCCACCACCCATAGCGTGCGTCTTGCAGCATTTTGTGGTTTATCTGGCTCATGTAATGGCCTATATCGACCAATAGTGAAACAATGCCGAATAGTAAAGATATTAACATTAAATCGACTCACGAAAGTGATATTGTTAAATATTATCAATTTATGTGATATTTACATTGACCCAAATTGTACTAATGACATGTAACAGCCCCCCCCCCCGCCGCTACAGACATGGTAAAACCACACACTTACTGCACCATACCATGAAATCTCCGACCTCCGACACGCTCCGACCGGGACAAAGTCAGTACGGAATTGTGTAATAGTGTGCAATTTTGTGTGCATTAATGTGCTAGCAATGATAAGTGGACAGGGGGCTTAAAATATAATTGATTGAGGCAAATTGATTTTCCTTGTGTGCGTGTTCGAAAATTAAATATTACGTGCTGATCTGCTTCACTACATCGTGAGTTGCGCCAACGTGTCAATATACCACGACACGTGGACTGTGGACGAGTTGTACATGATGGGGATTTAATGTATATGCACGTGCACCCGTGTTCATGTGTGTTTATACGCGCGTTATTGACTGCGCATTGATCGTTATGTTTATTCAATGACAGGTAAGCAGCTACATGGTGGACTACATGCCGCCCGTGTGCTACCCGGATGACCTGTTCCCCGTGCGTAAATGGTGCACAACGCGTTTGCTACGTACGTGCACCCGTGTCCATGTGTATTTATACGCGCGTTATTGACTGCTCATTGATCGTTATGTTGTATTCAATGACAGGTAAGCAGCTACATGGTGGACTACGTGCCGCCCGTGTGCTACCCGGATGGCATGTACCCGTGCGTAAATGGTGTACATCGTGATACGATATTGTCATGTCCAAGAACATTTTGAGCGATCTGACCTCGACGATTAAGGGTAAAATGGATTGTTGTACTATGATGTATATACGCTGTATCATGAGAGTAAGGACGAGCTAAAGTGTCTCGCCGATCTTGTTAATATGTACTTGTTGTATTTCTCCTTCTTTAGTGCGGAATCACTCAGCATGTATACAATGGCGTGAAGACCATCATCTATGGGTACTGCGGGTTGACAATCTATCCGATGATGTTTGTAGTATGCGCAGGTGCTGGATCTACAATGCGACCGGCGGCTTGAAGTTGTCTGTATCGTTGAATATGTTTGCTTAGATGACCAGCTTTGTGTATATTGCGCATGGACTAGAGGACGTTTTGTGCTCCGCGGGCCTTGATGTTGTGCTCGCCAAGAAACGAAAGTAACTGCATTTCAGCGACATCGCCTAATTCCAACACATCGTCTCGATACTGCGGAGACTTTTCATCAAGCACGAATCCATCAGCAAGAAACAGTTTCATGAATGCAACGACAAGTTTGGCGGTGGATTTCGTGTGCTTGCTCGAGCTATCAAACGAATCCCAGAGGCGGGGTTCCTGGGTATACCAACAAAACCAGACGTCCTTCAGGTTTGTTGACGAGCTCGTTCGGCGACGTTTGGCTGGTGGTTCTTTGTCTTTACCCTCACTTCTTTCATGTGTAGATTTTGGTTGTGCTTTGTTATAGACCTCAGCTTCAATCATCGAGACGCGAGATTCGAGCTTTTGGTTGACCTTGATTAGATGTTCAATCAGTGAAGCTTGACGAAGATATATTGGATGCTTTGTGATGTCGATCGTGCTGTCTGAAGCCTTGATGGGATTCGGTGGCACATTTGTCTTCGTGTAGCAGGTTAGATGTGAAGACCAAGCTAGAAGTTTGCTGACGGAGTAACCTTGCTGGATTGCACACGCTTCCAAACGTGTGACTACAAGTACGTCTTTCTTTAGCTGCTTCAACGATGGGTAATGAATCAGCAGATAAGTGATAAGCGTTTCAATCACTCTTTCGCTCACGTTGTATTGTGTAGGCTTGAGGCCTTGAGATGCATTGAAGAGCGCTGTCGCAACAGTTTGTATTTTTGTCTGCGTACCGGAGTCGAAGACATCAAGTGATAGGAGAGATACGTCGGTATCGAGGTGTCGCCCACTCAAGACCCGGGCAACCTTATGGTCTTCGGAAGCCGGATTAAAAACGCACGCGAAGGCCTTGTTTGTCGCTGTCATATTCCAGGCGCCTCGGTCGAAGATCCACTGTACACACAATCCAGCCCCATTTGCATGCTGCGCCCCTTCGCGCCGAAAAGAGTGAGATGTCAAGCGCTCGGATACGCCAGCTTTTACAGCGACCCGATCAAGAACACGGTTGACGTAGCTGTGTACACCAGGAGAGTTATCTGTGATGTTCTCCTTCTTAGCAGCGGTTGATAATATATCCTGTGAAGACACCACAGCCTCTGGATGATCGAGCAAATCGATGAGCAAAGTTGATGGAGCTAATATGGACTGTGAGATAGCCATCTGCTCAGGAAGTTGACTCAGCACGGATATAGTTGGCGATGAGTGGGTCACGAGGGCGAGAGCTATGGCAAGCAGAGGACATGTGGTGAAGTCTTCGTCAGGGAAAAGTGAAAGACCTTGCTCTTCACAAGTTTTAATTCGGATAAATCGGACGAAGAATATGTCACCCGAGCCGATCGACAGGTTTGCCTTCCGCAGCATTGTAAGGTCCGATGCACGCCCAAAGAGGTACCATAGCAAACACAACAGCGCCGCATCTTGGTAGTCAGCACTAGTAACCGCAGTTGAATACAAATATTCCATCATTTTCTTGAGAGCATACTTTGTGCATGCTGGGGCCTTGTTTACAAACGACCCTGACTCACGCTTCATACAATGGCGTTCAAGTGTCTGTCCTTTCTTGAGCAAATTCTTCTCAACCACTGCTCGATGCTGTGGGAACTGCTCCAGCAGCCAATTCTTGGCTTGTCGAAAGTACTGCATGACCGAGTGTCGAGCCAAGAGCTGTCCCTTTCGGCTTTCCTTGAACGCGAGATACATGCCAAACTTGTCCATCACAGCTTCTAGTGCGAGAGGTGCCCTCTCGCGCTGCATGCACTGTTGCAGGTACTCCAAAGTAACCTCCTCCTGCTCGAGGAACTTTAAAAATGAGCGCGCTCCGTTCTCACGGGCACGCTTTGTGTTGGCAGGTGCTAGGTCGGTCAGACTCATCCTCGGTGGAGATGTTAAAGCTTGGATGTTGTTTGTAAAATATGCGGTTGAGTTACCCTTTGTCGGAGACGTCGGAGCTTGTGTATTATTTTTAAAATATGCGAATAACTTGGTGTTTGTATAGTGATAACCATAACAGCACTGTTCTCTCCGACCTGATACGTCGGAGAGGTAGCTGAGAGAGCTGTACTTGTCCACCTGCTCTCTGATTGGATATAATTTTGCCTTTGTGCAATTTGACTCCTTAAAAAAGATTTTTCTATCACTAGGCTCACACTATTGGTCAATACATTCAATATGTTATTCAAGTGCGGTCGGAGATTTAATGTTATTTATTCATAAAAACAACTTTAGGGTGCTGGGCGTTGAACATTACCTCCAACGAGCCTTCCCCAACTATTACGTTTTGAAAATTTGGCATGCGCATACGTGTAGTATACATGGTTGAGGCGTTTTTGCTCTATTTGTTCTGTATATTTTCGATTATTTGGTGAAGTTTTGATCCTCTTGCTCTGGGGCCCTTTTTAGATTTTGTGGGTTTTCAGGGCGTTTACTGAATCCAGAGTAGTATTTGCTTATGTAATAAACATGGAGATTATATTGATGTCAATCAGCCATTGTCATACATGTAACCGGGCTACCGCATGACTCCATTTCGTGCATGGTGAAGGTCAAAGGACGAACGAAAATGTGTCATGCGTCTCTACGTTTGCTGGGAACAGTCCTGGACATAAGAGGCGCGCAGCAGACAAAACTTCACGTAATATTCCGAAAGTACATCAAACAGCTGCGCTTGCCCCTCTTATATTGAGCATCTTTGCGCGGGACAGCAACGCATCCATGTGCTGAAGATCTAATCAGATCCGTGGAGGCCAATTCCTGTTGCCTCGGTCCTGCTAGCATGGTGAGACGGCATCCACAAAGCACGCGGGTCAATAGCCTTTGCCTTACGTCGGTGTTTCAAGTTTCAATTCTCAGCGCTTCGGTGGTTACAGGTAGCGCCGCACAGCACACATCGTAGGTCTACCCTAATTGTAACAACCAAAGGGACGACTCAGTCAAGCAGACAAGTAATGGCTGCGTTCTTACAACGAAAGCAGGTTACAAAGCTCAAACGTTCTGCATCGTACCACAACCAACGTCGTCGTGTTCAATCCACGCCAATGGCTGCCATTTGCTTCCTTCTTACCTCTGTGATACTTACCCGGCAAAGGATCGTGATGAAAAATAACGCAAGCCTGCTAGTCGGCTTCTCTCATCGGCCAGATGACTAGTCGGTCGACATTCACATGCCTCCATCCTCGTCTTCCTCTAGAAAGCCGCGCGATGGCATGTAGCCGCGGGGGCTCTTTGCGGCGGCTCGCTCCGCCGGGTGCAACATACGCGACTTCTCGTCTTCCAAGTCATACTCGTCATCGAACGCCTGATCCTCGAGCGGCATATACTCCGCAAGGATGCTGCGCACCTGGTCGCGCATGTGGCGCTGTGTGCGACGCCAGTGGACAAAGCCACCCACGGCGACTATACCCACGAATGCGAACAACACGGCCACCAGCGACGCGAACGAGTAGCCGTCGTTGCTCGTGATGGCGGCAGCATTCGCAAGACTGCCCACCTTCACACAATCCAAGAGGCCAGCGGACGACTGGCCATCGCACGAGCACACCTCGGGAGGGTCGTGGACGCCATAGCCAGCACAAACCATGCCCAAAATGCTTGTTGGGTCCACACGACCGCGAGCGTGCACCCCGTCCACATATAGCGCCGGCAAACGTAGAAGCTGGAGTGCAGTCTGCTCCTTGAGCTCCTCCTCAAGCATAGGATTCACCTCGTCCACACCAACACCATACGGCTGCATGCACTTCTCCACGGCTTCAACGTCAATGCTCAGCTTCTTCATCACCTTCTCGGCGCAAGATCGCTCCCGAAACGTGTTCTCGTCCTTTCCACATGCTTCACCAAAAGCCTTTACGTACTTCCACCACTTGAGGCCAACGCCCGGATCAGTCTCACTCTCCAGCTTCCAAACGCACTTGCGACGCAGATTCTCCACCACGACATCGGCTCCCGACGCGCCCGTCGAGCGGTCGTGCGACGGCGACGGGTCCAGCAGACAGTAGCGACCATTGTTCAAGCACATGTTGCCACAGGCCGACGTCCCCTCTTTCGCCTCGGCGTGGCAGCCCACTTTACTGCCATTGTACGAGACGAATCGCGGCGTGAAAAATGCGCGGTCGCCCAGCGCCGTGACCATCGCCTCCAGGTCTGCCAGCGTCGCCCGCGACTGGTCGTCCCACGCGCTCTGCCACAGCGTCCACTCGACGCGCCCGTCGGGCGAGGGCACGCCCCAGTCAAACTTGACCATCACGTTACTGACGCCTTTGCTCTGGGCGACCTCGCGCTTGATCGCGTCGCCGTCGCTCTTGCGGATCAACATGCTCGGGATCGTAATGTCGCCGCCCGACTCGTCGTCGGCCATGAACGGCAGCACTGTCTCGCAAAAGTCGTCGCCGGTCTCGCGCAGGCACTCGACGTCGGTGCATAGACATTTGCTGTCGGCAATGAGCACAGCGCGCGCACCGGCCCGTTGCGCGTGTCGCACCTTCTCGACAAAGTGGCAGTCGCCGCGGTCCAAGAGCAGCGCGAACGGCGGCTCCCAGTCGCTGTGCGTGATCGCTTGGCAACCCGACTCGTTCGTGTAGATCAGCTGCGTCTGCAGCGACCCCATCGAGTACGACGGGTAGCCAAAGAGCGCGTCCTTGTGCGCGTAGCCGTCCTTCTTCATGAGCCGTTCGGGCAGCACCATCTGCAACTTGGTGTGGTCACTCTAACACCAGACAAAAGACACACGGAACGGTAAGGACCGGTACAAAATGCAAGCGACACGGGCCGCAGGAGAAGCAGCTGGACGCACTTCGGTCGACGGCCACTCGTCCACGTCCATGGCGCGCGCGTGCACTGAGGCGGGCGTCGTGAGCGCCAGCAGCGCCGCGGAAAGCAGCTGAGGCGCGCGCATTCTGATGCTCTTCTCTCTCTCTTGCAGCGCAAAGTCGAAGTGGGCGTGCGTCAGGGGAAAGCTTCTGCACGTTGACGATGTCGTCCCTCCGCAGGATCGCCACGCGGACTATGACCAAAGGAGGGATGACCACTGCGCCGCAACCTTTCTGACGATTGACCAATCATTGACCGTCTTTTAACAACGTTGGGGCGGATTCGCCACGGCTTTCCGACGACTGCGGTCGTGGACAGACCCCGAAAGATTGCGGCATTCCACACATTGATCAACAGAACTTCAACACAGGGCGTTATTCCATATATTTAGTGTAAAAGGAAAACAAAACCTAAATACTGGCGAGTGGCTGAGCGCAGTCTTGTCCTCGTGGAAGGGACGAACTATTTATTGTATGGTCATGTCGGCAGCGGCACGTGATGTGCGCGCGTCTTCCTGCTCACCTGCCCACTGTGGATCGCACGCGTTTCTTTTCCATCGCGCTCTACCGCCTCATGGTACACAATACCACCGTCAGATCGCCTAGGCAATCGGAAAAAGAACGTGTCAAGACGCTCTGCAAGACTGACTCAGCAGAGAAGCCATGGAGTAAACATGCTTCTTCCCGCATATCATGCGCGTCTCTGTGTTGGCTGGCAACTTTATGGGATGGATTCTTTCAACTTTGAAACGCCTTTATGATTTGCTTTTACGTTTTGTTTGTACTATTTGTTATGGGAGGTGTGCCTGGCGTAATTGTGCCCTTTCGCCCATCGCAAAACCACAATGTGCTTCGGATCGTCTTCAAGCGATGTACTGGCGGCGTGTGCAGACACTGAACTGCGTACTGTGCTCGAGACAAACTCGGTCAGCGCCGCTGCTGTCAGCGTGCTCGTGGCATGAGTGTGCCATACCGGTATTGCGGTAGCCCCTCACTTGTCTCGACCGCACTGCTACGAGTAGCAACTGCAACGCGCGTCTGAAACGTACAAACGAAATCCAGGGACATGTAGGTCGGAGCATTTACTTGTGCAATGCTAAGGGGGATGGAGAATGCTGTGCTGCACAGCGTGCAGGATAAGCAACTGAAAATTGCACCAGCGGCTACGGCGAAGGCAAAGCGTGTCTCTGCCGCTCGTGCATGTACAGAAAACTACCATCGAGTAGCACAGCATCCATGCGCGAACATATTTCGGCGCACTTGATCTACACAAGTTACCCCATGCTAAAAAGATCATGCGCCAAAGCAAGCAGTGCGGTCGTGCTTCAGCATGTTCAGAACGGCATCAAATCCGATGCCGCCATTCGCGAAAGCGTTGCTAATGACATCGAACGTGTGTCAGACCGGGCACCCTGTATCACAATCCTTGGTCGCAAAAAACAACGCCTTTCCACGTGAGCGCCGTGCGACACGATGCCTCGCAAACATGACGAGACGTCACCGCCGTGGTCCATACATACCATGCTAGCACAGAACGCTTCACAGTAGCAATACGTCGACTTTCCAGCATCAACGTAGAGCAAAGTCGCGTTGGAGCGCTTCAATGCACCAACGTTGACGAAAGGCTTCTGTCAAATCTGAGCCGCAGCGAAAGGGATAGCCCCGGGTCGTACGATTCCACTCCACGGCAATGTCGCAAATCTCCCACCATTGTTGCTTGCGCGGCTCAGCGTCAACGGACGTAATCACGCGTTTGGTCACCAACGCCCTGTTCGCAAGTCGGTCTGCCAAATTCATTGCAATAGCGCTACTTCGTAGTAACGCATTCTCTCAGTCTCTTCCCTGTCAACCGCAGCTTCTCGTTTCAGTTTGTCGCGCCCTCCTGTATGTAATCCAGTCCCAACGAGTCTCATGAGGCAAGCCAAAGCGAGATACTACACAGAGCTCCAATGATGTAGCGTTTCCTTCGCGTGCTGCTGAACAAGTACCTGATCGCCCACAAGATTCAATCGATCTCCCGTACGAGTGGCACTTCTGCCACATGTCCCATGCGCAATTTGCGTTCCATCGAACTCAACGCAGCTCCCACTCAGCAGTAACGCTGTGTTAGTGGTAGATGCGCTTCGTCGCCGGCACCCACCACGCTCTCGCAAGGCACACCAAGACTTGCCGTTCCATTCCTCGTGCAACCCATTCATCGTCACAAAGTCGACCACCAGCGTGCCGTTGTCCTGGTGGCGCATACTCTATTTCGCTTCGCCATCAGCGTTTGTGCAGATCGTAAGTCGGTCAGCGCTGCAATACACGACGTGCTTGGCTGCATCCAGCTTCTGCCTCGCGCGCTGCTCCATCAAAGCCATCGTTCCATCTATCTTAGGTCTCCAGCTGCTCTTATCTCCACCAGCAACTTCGGTCACTCGTGCTATGCGCCAGTGTCAATTGCTGGTGCGCGTCATCCGCGTAATCAATCACGTTCCTGTTCCCCCGTGCGCGCGTCCACTACAAATCCAGTTGTGCTGTGTGGCAGCAATTGTCCAGATCTATCTGCGCCGATCTTGTAACAGCCCTGAGAAGCAAGCCCCTGGTCTGTAGCTGAGGAAGAACGGCGTTGAGATACGGCACGGCATCGCGCCGGGTCACACAGTCGACGAGTGTCGATTGTTCACCACTGCGGTCAACATAGGGGCCCCTAGACAGTCGCGCGCTGCCCACCGTATCCGAGATGGGTCGCTCGGACGTCCGATTTTCGATTATGAGGGCTGCTCGGCGCGACGCTTGAGCGACTTGAAGTTCAGACGGTGTGTGGGCCACGTAGCTCGCTGCATCTTGTCGAGACGTCGTTCCCTAGCCCCTGCCCATCTCCAAGTTTATCGCTTTGAGGAGGGAGGGAGGGACCCACTGGCTCCCGTACAGTACATCGTCACTTGGGTATTCGAGCCTCGGTGGAGTTTTCAGATACTTTTCGCCCGGCCGTCGCCTGTGCGGCACGTCGCAGCATGCCCTGTCCGTACGCAGAAAACCGCGTCACGGCAAGCACGTACCCGGTATGATACCGCCGCCCGCTGCCACGTTTTCGTCGACAGCGGACCGGTTCTACCTTCGATTGGGATGGATTCACCTCCTGGCCCAGGCAGAAGCGGCTGTCCCTCGCGTTACGCGAGAGGCGAGTCGCGGGCCCCGACCCTTTTCGGGTTGTTGCTCGTGACACGCGCGCGCGTGTGGTTGCAGTATTTTTAGTCGAGCCGCAGCGACTTGTGCGCCCCGTCGGGTCGGGCCGAGATTTGCTATCCCGACTATCCCCTGGCCGAGACCACGTTTACTTGTTCTGCTGCTTGCCAGTTGCGTCCCGCACAGGTGCTGCACTGGCACCAGCCTCGGCGAAAAAAGAAACAGCAAAACCCCTTGCCGCCCCCTCTGTTGCTAGATAAAGCAGCAGGGCAAAAGCGGATGTGGCACTGCCGCGAATGCATTGAAAAGCCCGGACCGCTTTTACATTGGTCTACCGGCTACGCGCGACAAGGGGACGAACGCGACGTCGAAACGAGAGCTCTTTTCTGAGACCTCTCACGTACACTCACTCAAGTGGGGTAGCGGTGGTGGTGGTGGTGGCGGATACGTCTGTGATGCCATAGTTAGGTCTAGTCAAAACGGAACGCCCCAAAGTGTCACAAAGCGACGCTGACATACGTCGTTGTAGTCAGGCGCTGCTAGCCGTCGTTTGCACTACCCTCACCTGAGTATACGGACAGGCCGAGATATGGACTTCCAGCTGGAGCAGCGCCCCCTCGCTTTCGTGAGACACTTTCACTGCTGTGCCCAGAAAGCGGCGGAGAGCCGTGCGAGGTTTCCAGGGCGCAAAGAAGATGGAGAGTGCCATTTGTAGTCTTGCGGGGACAAGTTAAACGACGGGCAAACAGCGCGCGCTGGGAGAGCGGGCGGCTTTTAGTGGACAGAAGCGCTCGGCAGCAGTACTTTGGCTGTCGCTCGCGCGGTAGACACGCAGGTGCAGGTCCGATTTGCTCCCCGTCGAGCCCCGAGCGAGCGACCTCGCGCACACACAGCCACTTTGTCTTGGCATTTCTATGACTCGACGCATGGACCACTTCTTGGGTTTCGGTCGACCCCAGGCAGTGGTGGCGGTTGCCGCCCCTGCCTCTTCCGTACCAGCTCCAGTCGTCCTGGCTCCGTCGTCACCGTCGTCGCCGTCCGTAGCAGTGCTTTCGTCCACGTCTAGTGCCCAGTTTGTGTTCACGTCGAGACATGACGGCCCGACCCCTGTCGACGACGATGACGACAGAGACAGCTGCATTTATGACCCCAAGCTGGAGAACGAGAAGCAGATTCCAATGAGCAAGTCGGCCGCGGACGTGCGTGCGAGCCCCGGGGACGGGAGCAGCTACGTGTACGAGAAGCACTACTTTAGGTCGATCTCGTCAATGGCGAGCAAGCGCATCCCGGTACCGGGCGTCATTGAAGCCAAGATCAAGACGCTAACCTCCTATTTAAAGTCGGTCTCTGCCGGCATTCGACGTCGCAGCACGGCTTTTGACCGCGCACAGGCGTACTACCGCAAGTCCGTGCCGACCCCCGCAGCTATTCGCACCAAGTTGAACGTTATCGTAACAAGGCATAGCAGTGGCGAGCTACAACCGACCACGCTGTCTTGGGAAGACATTGATGAAGACGGGTCCATGAGCTTTGGTGATTCCACCGGGGCCATGTCCGCCGCCCCTGTGTCGAGGAAACGAGGCCTTCCAACCGAGATCTACTGTGGCGCTGAAATCCGTCAAATCTGCTCTCGCTGTGCTGTGCCAGATCGGCATCTTGATCAGGTTGTACAGATCGTCAAGTCGTCGTTCGGCACGCCAGGGTTTGATGTGATTGCGCTCGAGGAGTTGATGCCAGGAAATGTGGTCGTGTGCGTGGGCATGCTGATCTTTGTGAGCATCGATGGTGGCGAAGAGTTCTTGGACCTGAGCGTTCTGCCGAGTTTCTTGAGGCATATTCAGGAGCGCTACGACGATAGTATGCCGTTCCACAATGCCACTCACGCCGCGGACGTGATGCATACGCTTTTCATGTTGCTGTGGAATACACGTTTGGGCGAGAAGATCTCGCACCACAACAAGATTGGCGCGCTTTTGGCAGCGGTCATGCACGACGTAGAGCACGTTGGCTTGACCAATGACTTTTTAATCAAGACTGGCCACCCTATCGCACGGAAGTACCCTACAAAGGCCCCGATGGAGTCCAAGCACATGGACCTGGCTTTGCAGGCAGTCGTCGACCCTGAGTTTGGCATCCTGTCCAAGATGACGCCGGTCTACCAAAACGAGGTACTCGACGTCGTCCGTGAAACCATCTCCGCGACAGCTCTTATTTATCAGCCTGAGCTGCTCGCTGAAGTGAACAACACGACGGCGGACGAGTGGAAGATGCTCGAGGAAGAGGACACAGTATTGCCTCAGGGCTTGCAAGTGCGTGCGCTGCGCATCGCCATGCACGTGAGCGACATCAGCCAGACGATGAAGCCCTTCACAAACCACCAGAAGTGGGTATTCCGCCTCAACGACGAGCACTACAAGCAGGGCGAGCTGGACAAGCGCGAGCAGTGGCGGGTCAGTCCGTGGTTTTGTTTCCGTGACTTGTGGACGTACGAGAAGTTCCTGGGTAGTCAGGTGTGCTTTCTCAAAGAGATGGCGCTCCCGGCGGTCGTAGCACTGAATGGCATCCCCTGGCTAGACGTGAACGAGCTCGTGAACGGTATTGAGAACAACATTGCCGAGTGGGATCGGCAGGAAGCTGCCGCTACTCACTGAGCACATGTATTATCGGATATGTTAGCGCGACTGTAGAATTATGCAACACTTGCAGCAAAATAAAATCAACGCTACCTTCCAGACCCACGAGTTGTTGCTGCTGCCACCACCAGCATCCTTCATGGCCAGTGTGTGTTCGTCGCTATTGACAGGCGACACCGGGATATACCGGTACAACCACTTTCGCTTACTCGAAAAAAAGTACCGGTACGAAACGCTCGACTCGGCATCATCGTCAGTATCCGTTTGAGCTCCATTTGTCAGCACAATCAACTTCGACCCGAACTGAACCTTCTGAAGCCCAATGATCGCCCACCGCTTCACGAAACTCACCCGTTCGCTGGCAGCTCCGGTACGACGCACTGAGACCGTACTGGATCACAACTAGCGAAGTGACTGACTGACTGACTGACGGACGGACTGAATACTTCGGAACACAGCACACTGCGCGTGCTCTCTCCGTGCTGGACCGCTTTACATCGTCCCCTGAGCCCGAGACTGTGAGCGACATCTGGCGCTCCGTGGGCGCAGTGTGCTTTGACGTCGACAGCACTGTGTGCGAGGACGAGGGCATTGACGTGCTCGCTGCACACTGTGGCGCTGGCAAGGCTGTCCAAGAGTGGACGATTAAGTAAGGTAGTGTAGAGGCTGGACGTTGTCAGCATCGAGGGCTCACTCGGTGCTGTCGTTGTCTTGTTGGTACGTGACGCAGGGCCATGAACGGAGACGTCAAGTTTGAAGACGCACTTGCAGCTCGTCTCGACATCATCAGGCCGTCCAGGCAAGACATCCAGGACTGCTTGGCTCAGCACCCGCCCAAGTTCACGCCGGGTACGGCAGTCTTGATCGTCGTTCACTCATTTCAGTAGCTCCGAAAGAGTACATGGCTGACGACGTGTGGCGTTCAATGACGTGGTGGCGTTTGTAGGCATCAAGAAACTCATAGCGGTGTTACGAGAAAAGGACATTGCTGTGTTTCTCGTGTCGGGTGGCTTTCGCCTCATGATTGAGCCCGTGGCTGAGAAGATTGGCATCCCTCTCTACAACATCTACGCCAACACCATCTTCTTTGACCGCGATGGAAAGTACAATGGTTTCGATGACGCCGAGCTCACGGCGCGCGACGGTGGGAAAGCCAAGGCCATTGAAGTGTACGTTGCCCAGAAGCAGTCGATGTAAAAGACCTGCGAATGTCACTGACTTGTTGCTCCTTGCTACGAATGTGTTGCTGCCAGCATCAAGCGGATTCATGGCTACAAGAAGATTGCCATGGTTGGTGACGGCGTGACGGATCTCCAGGCGCGCCCACCTGCCGACCTCTTTGTCGGATTCGGCGGCATTGTCACCCGTGATGTCGTCAAGGAAGGTGCGGATCTGTTTGTCTCGGATTTCAACCACTTGGCCAAGCTGCTGCAGTAAAGAGAGACCTGGACGTTGCGTGCAATTGACCGGACGACCCCTCCGTTGCCTCGGCGTCACTTCAGAGCGGGCATTCGCAAACAACTTCATGGATGGCACATGGAGAGTGCAAAGCATGAATGATTCGTGTATTTGTGCGCTATTGCTTGATAGAGCAAACGACTACATCGTTCGCGTAAAAGCTAGTCATGATCTATACGTTAGGCTTCCGTCTCCTCTCCCTCGCCGTCTCCTGCATCCTTGCCGCTCTTGAGGTCGGCAGGTGTTTTGCGTAACGCCTTCACCCTGCGGCTCTGCATCGAGTACACATCTTGGTGGTCCATGTGAATGCGTCCTAGCTTGTCGCCCGTCAGCTCGTCGCGCGAGATGTTCTTCCTCTTCTTGGGAGCCAAGCCCTTGGGTTTCTTCGTGGCCGCCTTCATTGCATCAGCCGATGCAAACTTGGTGCGGCGGAACTGCAGGTCAAAGCGCGGACCCATCTCGTCCAACTCGACGCGCGGATGCGACTCGTCGCCCTTTTTGAAGTCAATCGAGTACGAGCGGAACAGCACCGTCTCCTTCCAAGCCGTGCACACGATGACATGGTCCAGCCCTTTCACGTTCACGCTGCGCACGATCGTGCCGCGAAAGGTGTCCAGCAACATGTTCTTGAGCTTCGCGAACGCCTCCACGCTCTCCCACTGGTCGCCCGTGAACACAAAGTTGGGCTTCGACCCAGGGGCCTTCTTGCTCTTGCACTTGAACGCACGAATAGGCTTAAAGTTGCAAAAGCCGAGCTCGACCACGTCGAGAATGTGACCGTCAAACGTGCGGCCCAGCACCAAATTGTTCGGCCGTTTCTTCGTGCTGCTGCCGACAAGAAAGAGACTCGCGTCGTTCTTCTGCGTGAGGAACTCGACCTTGTTCTCGTCGTCAAACACGTGGATGTCGTTCTTCTTGCCCATGAACTTCGCGTCCGGCGCCTTGAGCATGCGCAGGTTGCGCAGCAGCTCGTTCACGTCCTCGTTCGTCTTTTTGCCACGCAGCACCAGCAAGTTCTTAGTGTTCTCCACGAGCTTCGGCTCTTTGGCTTTGAGCGCGCGCTGGACGTACGCCTTGAGCCGCTTCGGCTTCGCGACGCTCGTGACCTTGCGACTGGTCTTGGCTGCCTGCTTGGTCACCTTCTTTGTCGCTCGCTGGGCCTGCTTGCCCGCCGTGTGCTTGATGGACTTGCCGCCGCCTGCCATCGCTCACAAAGTCGTCGTCGGCTGCTGGGGGGCACCAGACAATGGCACTTCGGAAGCAGTGGAGGGATTGGGTGCGTTTGATTGGTGGTGGGCGCGACGGCGGTCGACTGACAGCCCGCGCGTTTCTAAGTGCTCCCCACGGCGGGTTTGTCTTGTGTTTGCCACGCGACTTTGCCCGTCCATCGATTCGAGGCACGAGCGCTGTAAAAAGCACTTTGTACGATTCGCCCGTCGTCACGTGCCGCAGTTCGTACACTGCTGAAATCACTCGAACCTCCTGAGGCTAACTATCGTCACATGAGCTAGTTTGCCCGTGTTTGCACTGCGAGTTTGGGTCCGCGAAAAGGATGGTGAAGTCGGTAGCGTACCGGTATGTCACGTGTCCGAACGTTGATCCCGTCGCCCTCCAAAGGACATGATAGAAAACGCGACTTTTTAGCGCAGGTCACGCGTTCCGTTAGCACGTTTCTACTCTCCCTCGCACGCCCCTCAATCCGCTGCTGGTCATCGCCCTCCGTTTCTATTTCGCGAAACGCGCCAACTAGAGCCAAAGAAACCGCAGCAGCTGCAGCAGTATGGCGCTGAACGGGGGCTTCACGCGCGGCGGCACGAGCAGCTGGGCCGACGACGACGACGCGGACTTCCAGCCGCTGCCGGTCCCTGCCAAGATCCCTGCGTGAGTCGCGCTGTGGCCTCGAGTGGATGCGATCGCCACGCGTCGCTCACGGCGTGTGTGACTGTGTTTCGATCGTGTTTTAAACAGGACGGAGACCTTACCACCGACGGAAGAGCACGAAACGCAGCCACAAGCGCAGCAATGCGATGGTTTGTACATACTTGTATACGTATATGCGTACACGTATCGTTGGGGCTGCACTCGAAACGTGCAAGAGGACGGCACGAGCAGCGCCTGTCACAAAAGAGAGGGAGTTTAATACGGTTTTTCGCACTGATGTGTAGAACCGCGTCAAGCGTCGGGTCGCAGGGACTCTCGAGCTGAAGGACGTGACAGTCGTGATGACCGTCGCGGTGGGTACGACGAGCGTCGTGGGGGGTACGAAGAGCACCGCGAGACGCGTGCGCCTCGGGAGGAGCGGCCGAAGAATCCGGTACCGGACGTAGGACCGTGGAAAGTGAGGAGCTGCAGTAGTAGTGAGACGAGGAAGGTGGCGGGTTGCTGGACTAAGACTGTTGACGTCGTGGCTTTTGCTGTAGCTTTTCGTGGGCAATTTGTCGTACCGGGTGACACCAGACGATCTGGCTGAGTTTATTGGTGTCGATGGCATTAAGGACATCCGCATTCCTCGTGACTTTGAAAATCGGTCCAAGGGCATTGCTTTTGTCGAGTTTGACGACAAGGATAAGCTCGTGCAGGCACTCGGGCTGGATGGATACGATTTTGAAGGCCGCCGAGTCAAGATGGACGTAGTGCTGGAGAGCGAACGCATGTCGCGCGACAAGGGGCGGTTCGAGAAGCGTAGCGATCGTCCGTCGGCTGATGGCTCTCGGTAAGTTATTGCTTGCAGTGGCTCACTAGTAGACCAGTTTGTCTTGCAGAGTGTCTGACACTGTGCTGCTTGCGGATGAGAAGGAGACGCAGTGAGGGCAACCTTGCTCAACAAGAACGCCCGCGTCTGTCGCTGCTACCACGCACCACTTCTACCGGGCAGAAAGATTCGGCTGAGCACAAGCCCAGCATATTTGGTGAGGCGAAGCCGCGCGATGAAAGTGCGTACTTGGAGCGCAAGAAAGCTCTGGATCTCGAGCGCAAGAAAGCTCTGGATCTCGAGCGCGAGATGAAGGCCAAAGAAGCCAAGGAAAGGGCTAAGGAAGCCAAAGAGACCAAAGCGAAGGCCAAGGAAGCCACAGAGGCCAAAGCAAAGGAAGCCAAAGAAGCTAAAGCAAAGGAGGTCAAGGAGGTCAAAGCGAAGGTTGACGCGGAGGTTGCTGTGTCCGCTCGCAAGGGCTCTCGCGATGATGGCTCTCGTCGCGGGCGAGGGCGTGGTCGCGGCGACCGTCGCCCCATCGACGGCGGTCGTGGTGCCGCCGCAAAGGACAGCGTTTCGGCACGGAAATCGGAACCTCGTCCGAAGCGTGCTGAGCCTGTCAAGACCAAGATCTTGGAACCGGCGCCGGCGAAAATTGCCAACCCGTTTGACATCCTGAACGACTCCGACTCCGACTCGGATTCAGATTAGAGAGCTAAGTTTGCAGACGTTTGCCTTCTGTTTGCTTCTTTTGCAGTGGCTGTATTCCTTGCATCTCTTCGTGCGTCCAGTGGTCAGAGCTAGTAGTCGTGGTCAGTCATAGTCAGATGAACTTCTCGCATCAGTTGTTCGCAGTTCCAGCAACAAGTTAGCTAGCACTTCCAGTGGGATTCAATCGTGTTGTAGCCTTCCAAATCGATGCAGCCTTTGCCTCCAGTAGTTCGACTGAGGCTGTCACCACCTACCGAGCAATCGAAGTGTACAAAGCTGAGCTCAGACGGAACTGACTAATTGCATCAATCCTATCGCGCAATGACAAAGAACCCACCTTCGCCGTAACATTGCACATATCTACCATAACTAGCTTGGGCTTCTCCTTACAACTTCTCTCGGTCGTATTGCGACTCGGACCAACAACACTGCCCCGTCAACAGTCCAGTTTCCAGGCTCGTTCTTCGTGCACGCTGTGATCTCTGCCCGCGCGTCCTGCAAACATGGTCGGTCGAAGACCAAAGTCTACGGCCGCGTCGCTCGATAACGTACAACATCTCTATGCAAGCGCCTCGCGTCCTCGCTCAAAGCAATAGCTCTTGGTACATTTGGTTGTCTGTTTCCTCGTGAAAAACGTATGCCAACTGGTTCAAGAACACTCGAAAGCGCTCGTGGTCCTTCGCAGCCACTTGGAAGCCCACAAGTACGCGGCCAACGTCCGCGCCGTGGTTGCGATAGTGGAATAGACTAATGTTCCACGTGCTCTGCAGCGCCTCTAGGAACGTGGCGAGAGCCCGTGGGCGGTCGGGAAACTCAAAGCGATACAGCAGCTCGTCTCGCACATTACCACGAGCGCGACCGCCAGCCAAGTATCGCGTGTGGACCTTAGCCAGCTCGTTATCCGACAGATCGAGCACCTGGTAAGCACCACCCTGTGCGTGGCCCGACGGCGACTCGTCCCCCCGCAGCTCACGAACCGCAGCAGTTGCGTGTTCCAAAGTTGGCGAGTGGAACGACAGATGCACTCGTGCTTTTCGCGCGTCATCGTAGCGGTAGCTGAACTCAGTGATACGGACACCCGCGGCGTCCAAACGGCGGTTGAGGCGCAAAAAGGCACCAGGCGTCTCGTCAATCTCCACGGCCAGCAGTCGCTCCTGCGAGTCTGCACGCTCGGACACGAACCGCAACCGAGCAAAGTCCATGTTTGCTCCAGATGTGACAGCAACGAACTGACAGCCCGACAGTCCGCGCGTCTTGACATACTGCGTCATACCGGCAATTGCCAGCACACCTGCTGGCTCGAGGATCGCGCGCGTGTCGTTGAACCCTGCTTTTATCGCAGCGCAGATCTCGTCAGTGGACACCGTCACCATCTCGTCAACGTACTCGGCACACACTCGAAACGTCTCGGACCCCACACGTTTCACCGCCGCGCCGTCCGCAAACAGCCCAACGCGGTCGAGCTCTACCACCTTTCCAGCTGCCAGCGACGCTGTCATGCCCGCTGCATCAGCTGCCTCGACACCAATGACCTTGACACTCGGTCGGATCTGCTTGACCCACGCAGCAATCCCCGCGAGCATCCCGCCGCCGCCAGACGGGACGAAAATAGCGTCCAGCTTCTCGCCGGATCCACTGGTCTGCTGCAAGATCTCGAGCCCTACTGTTCCTTGGCCTGCAATCACGTGCGGGTCATCAAACGGCAAAATCAACGTGAGGTGCTCCTCCTGCACCAACCGCCGAGCTTCTGCAGCAGCGTCGTCGAACGTCTTGCCATGAAGCACAATGTCCACCGCGTCGCCTCCGTGGAGACGCACGGCGTTCACCTTAATGTCCGGCGTGGCCAGCGGCATCACGACCTTGGCGCGGATCCCGAGCTTGCGCGACGACAGCGCCACGCCCTGTGCGTGGTTCCCGGCCGAGCAGCACACGCAGCCCGCGGCCTTCTCGGCGTCCGTCAGACTGGCCATCTTGTTGTACGCGCCGCGGATCTTGAAGCTGAAGACCGGCTGCAGGTCTTCGCGCTTGAGCAGCACGCGGTTCTGCAGCGCGTGGGACAGTGCCGGCGCCTCCTGCAGCGGCGTCTGGTCGGCCACGTCGTACACGCGCGACTCGAGGATCATGCGGCGGTAGTTCGGCAGCAGTTGCGTCGTGCACAGGCGGCGCACGGCGGCGTCTACGCGCGACACGGGCGGGCGGCGGAGCATGACGGACGACTGGCGTCACGCGCTGGAAAAGGTGAGACGTGTCAAATAGTCCGCTGCACAGTTTGGTCCGAGCGACTGACCTCTTTTTTTGGTACGAAAACAAAAAAAGAGTCGACGGAGGACAGAGTGGGTCTTTTGTCAATTATCCCGTGGTCAAAGCGGGTTTAATTGGAGAAAGTGGGTGGGTGGGTAGTTTGCTCCCTTCGGACGTGCCCATGTCAGATGTAACTGACAAGTTGGCGAGGTAGCGGGATGTCGTGAATCGCTTTTGTGCTCTACCATGCGCTTTCGCACACTCCGCTTGTAATTCACAACGGCATGAAGCTGCGGAGTAGTGCGAGTCCTGTCTTGCTACGCACTAATCTGCTGGACCATCTGTCGCTGCATTTGATGTTGTGGTTTTTGTTCCCAGAAAGAGCGTGCTAGGGTCGAACGCGACGCGAGTAGTGAGGAAGTCGCAGGTTAGCAACGACCCGGCAAGCTACGCACCAATCAGTCCTTCGTTTTTGCGTTTCGACCCAAGTCGCAGCCCTTGTTTGACAATTACCCGACCGAACGCTGTAGTTTTGTTACCCGGGAAAGCGCACTTGGTCGACATCTGCATCGCATGTCAGTTCGACTGATTCTCCGTGTGTGTGATGGTAAACAAATGTTGCTCGAACGACGAGACTTGGCTGCTCGAGTCTGAGTATGAAGTCGGTCTGACGATACCCATTTGCCGATACGTCGTTCTCAAGTGCTGCACGATTCTAGCACAGAGCGCCGTAAATAGACCACTGATCGAACATGGAAGAGCTCGGCACGCCCGACGAACAACACGTGTCTAGCGTGTGCCAATCGCTCCGTCGATGATGGGTTCTTATCCGTTGCAAGCAAAGAACGAGGAAGAAGATTGTCGCGTGCGTTTGTGCCGAGTTGAACATCGTCGAGACTTCGGCGATTGCCAGCACGAACAGCCTGCAGGATCGGCAAGATGATGCGAGACGGTGTAAAGACGCCGACGCAGCGACACGACACGACAAACAGTGTGAATTGAAGGAGCTAGCACCATGTAAAGCAGACCTCTGTCACTCGCAATATGGTCATGTCAAGGAGCAACGATGGTACTGTGATTGGGACCGTGTAAAAGTTTGGTCTTTCAGTATGTCCCTGTCGAGAGGCAATGGCCCTCGCACAGCCGCTTGCCCGTTGACTCAATCTGATCGGTGGTAGCATAAAAGCCATCTCCAGGACTTTCCTTGTCATCAACCAAAGTCAACGACACGATGCGATGTGCTGAGTTTGCCCAGCTCTTGCCCCGCCTCTGGCGACGCCAATGGCCATGCCAGGATGTCAATGCGCCATCGCTACTGGTTCTCCCACCTCTGTTGTACCTCCTCCGTCGTTGCCTCTGCACCATAGCAATAATGAATGGCGGTTCTTCACGGACCAGCAAAGAAATGGGCTATCGTCGTCAGCTGACAGTGGATACTTCAATGCCAGCAGCAGCTGCAGAGCGTGATCTTCACCACTTCGGCGCATACGAAATCAGAACTGAGACTTGCATCGCGTAGACCAGATACCGCTCGTTCGAAGTGAAACCAGGTCGAAGTCGAATACCGCTCGACAATCGAGGTGACACTCGACAATGTACGCTTTATACCGATTGATAAGAGAGACGCCGATAGGCGGTGCAGTTGCCATTGCAAACGTAGTGCGTTACGTGACAATTCACGGCAGCTAAAATGTTGTCGGAGAGTTTAGCCAACGTACTTTGGCAAATTTGGGATCTGGGATCGCGGTCAACCGTAGAACCGGTTTTATGACTAATAAGAGGCGCCGTGAAACCCTCACCACGGTTCTCTCTATAAACTTATACAGCCGCCAATGGCGAGTCGCAGCAGCAAGAAGGCGCTGACGCGGGTGAAGGAGCTGAGTCCTGCGCTGTGCAATAAGGAGGTGCACGTGAAGGTGATCGTGATGGACAGCAACGCCAAAGAAGAGGGAAACGTCAGCAACAACGCGACGCTACTGGTCGGAGACGACTCGGGCTGTGTGAGTCTCGTGCTGCCCAAGACGACGGCGCTGCAGGTGCATTTGGGCGACATTTTGTGTCTGTCGGGTACGCAAGTGGTGCTCAAGAGCAGTCGCATTTACTTATGGGGCGGCAAAGTGGAGCGCGTGGGCGAGTTCCTGCTGCTCTTCAAGGAGAGCGTCAACGTCAGCAACATAACATGGGTCAAGGACCCGAAAGACCCCGACGTCCTGGTCAGTAGCGTCGGGTGCAGCAGCAGCATTGACGATAGCGTCATGGACGTCGCGCTCACTTGTTGCTGAACTTATGCTGTTGGTTTGTTGCGGTTTGTTGCAGATCCCCGGACGTAATCCTGCAAAACGACCGAAGCCACAGATTGTCACGTAGTCGCGGCTCGGCATAGGACAAGATGGAGAGGGACGCATTGTGGAAGGCGCGCTGGGTGTTTTGGCAACCAGCGCAGTTGCCTGTTTGTGGTTAACATAGCTGTTACGAGAAGACGAGCGGCAAAGCTGTCATGCGTCTTGCTGTGCGAACGCAGTCGTCGGGCGAATTGTCCGTACGCGGGTGGTGGGGGGTGCAAATAGCCTGCGCTTGCATTTCAGCCTGGGCATTCGAGTGGAATATTATTGTGTTACACTGTACTGCGTGATCGACAGTGTATGCCGAACGTGTGCTTTATTCGACCGCGCGCGTCTTGTGCGAGGGAAGTGGTGCATCCTGAAGCCCATCAAAAGTCGGCCATTGCCACTATCCGGTCAGATATCATCCGTCCATGTAAACTGCAACAACATACATCGAGCGAATCAACTTTGACGGGGAAAATGTGCACTTGCTGTGGACCCCTTTTTTTGCACGAACACGTGGCACTTCGTGATGTGGAGCGCAAGTGTTCGACCAGAGTTTGGGAGGAACGCGTACGTACAACAACAAAAGGCGCGTAGCGACGGAAATGTATAATTTCAAAAAGCAGCATGTTAAGCAAGGTAATTAGATCTCGGTTCTGTAGACGCCAAGCCACTAACCTCTTCAAGTCTAGATAGCTAAGCTACGCACGCGATCAGTGAGGTCGCAACACTCACATCATATCGTCCATCTCCTCATCCTCGTCAAACTCGCCCTCTTCCTCTGCGGTGGCATCCTGGTACTGTTGGTACTCAGACACGAGATCGTTCATGTTCGACTCGGCCTCCGTGAACTCCATCTCATCCATACCCTCGCCAGTGTACCAGTGCAAGAAAGCCTTACGACGAAACATAGCCGTAAACTGTTCAGACACACGCTTGAACATCTCCTGGATCGCGGTCGAGTTGCCGATAAACGTCGTACTCATCTTCAGGCCCTTGGGCGGGATGTCGCACACGCTAGCCTTAATGTTATTCGGAATCCACTCGACGAAGTACGACGAATTCTTGTTCTGCACGTTCAGCATTTGCTCGTCCACCTCCTTCGTACTCATGCGACCGCGGAACATACACGCGGCGGTCAAATAACGGCCATGGCGAGGGTCTGCAGCGCACATCATGTTCTTCGCATCAAACTGCTGCTGCGTGAGCTCGGGCACCGTCAGCGCACGGTACTGCTGCGAGCTTCGCGACGTCAGCGGAGCGAATCCGATCATGAAGAAGTGGAGACGTGGAAACGGAATCAGGTTCACGGCTAGCTTACGCAGGTCGGAGTTCAGCTGGCCGGGAAAACGTAGACACGTCGTGATGCCAGACATAGCAGCGCACACCAAGTGGTTCAGGTCACCATACGTAGGGGTGGTGAGTTTCAGCGTACGGAAGCAAATGTCGTACAGGGCCTCGTTGTCCAGGCACATGACTTCGTCAGCGTTTTCAACGAGCTGGTGCACCGACAGCGTCGCATTGTAGGGCTCCACCACCGTGTCCGACACCTTCGGGGACGGGCACACGGAGTACGTGCACATGATGCGATCCGGGTATTCCTCGCGGATCTTCGAGATAAGAAGCGTGCCCATACCCGAGCCAGTACCACCGCCAAGCGAGTGCGTGAACTGGAAACCCTGTAGGCAGTCACAGCTCTCGGCCTCTTTACGGACAACGTCCAGCACCGAATCAATGAGCTCCGCACCCTCCGTATAGTGTCCCTTGGCCCAGTTGTTACCCGCGCCTGTCTGTCCAAACACAAAGTTGTCCGGACGGAAGAGCTGGCCGTACGGACCTGCGCGGACAGAGTCCATCGTGCCGGGCTCCAGGTCCATCAGAATCGCGCGAGGCACATAGCGTCCGCCCGTCGCTTCGTTGTAGTACACGTTGATGCGCTCGAGCTGCAGGTCCGAGTCGCCGTGGTACGAGCCCGTGGGGTCCACGCCGTGCTCGTCGGAAATGACTTCCCAGAACTTGGCGCCGATCTGGTTGCCGCACTGGCCGCCCTGAATGTGGACGAGCTCGCGCATCTTTCCTGTGACCAGACACAAAACAGCAATAGAGTCAGCACGGGGAAAACAAGAGGACAGACAGACAGACAGGCAGGCAGGTGGCGCGCGAGGGGCCTCGTCCCCTCTCCCTTTTGGCTCCAGCGTCGGCGTCTCCGTCCTGACGCGTCTACGGACAGAGCAGAGAGCCGCTCTGTGGTAGAAGAGGGAGAAGAGGGAAAGGGGGAAAGGGCGCGCCGTGAGAGACCGACCAGCGCATGCGTCGTACCCGGGGCGTATACTGTGTGACTGGAGCGAAAGGAGGTCCTCAGCGGCGCTTGGCTGGCTGACGCGAGCTCTGAGGGAACTGCGGACTTTTGACGAATGAAGGAAGTGGGGGAAGCGCAGGATGCGCGCGAAAAGTTACCGCGGGGAGTAAAAGTCGAGTGCTAAAATGAAGCAGACCATCACTCCTTTTCCCGCCGAAGTGCATAAAGTAGTCAAGTGTAGTGCGTCCACACCGCTCAATTTGAAAAGAGGACGGATCGGCGGAGAGGGAATAAAGCGGTGGAAAAATGTGCCCCGGACTAATTGTGGACACAGCGCAAAGTTCTCGCTTGGAAAGGACGCGTTGTCGTAACTTTCGCCCTTCGACGAGTAACTGGCCGGACCGATTTGTAAAAAGGGGCACAAAACGCAGGCCGCTGCTCGTCGCAGGGTTGTTTAAGGCCTTCTATTGTCATTCGACGCTACTGCCAGCTGTTCTTCAGCTAAGTTACGTATACTTATGCCTTGCATATCACACGGCCGCATTGCAGCATGGGCGTCGACGTCGTACTAGGTTGACGACCTGCGAACTCAGATCGACTCAGCCGTGATGTCCACCACACCAACAACGGGCCATTCATTGTTCGCAGCAGGTGTGGTGATTGAAGTGATGCTGCATCGCGTGCTGCTGCGCCCCTACGCACCGAAAGTCGCGACCGCTGTCCGTTCCGCGCGCCTGCTACTTGCCAGAGCGTGCTCCTCTTCTGCGCTGCCAGATGGATGGGAGGCCATCACACGCAGAAACGGTGCGAAGCGTGATCTCAATCTCCTCTCATAGGAAGTCCATCCAGACTGATTGAAAATCTGTGCACGTTGCTGGCTCTGCAGGAGATGTGGTGTACTTCAACAAAGAACTGCGCAAGACTGTTCGTCATCTGCCTGGTGTACGCTCGCAGAATTCAGATGAAGCAAAGCCCGGATCCAGAGAGGAGAAGAGCGAAGAGCCACGTACGGCCACGGTGCCGCACCATGAGAGCACAGGGAACGAACTCTATATCCCGATTGATTTCGATGCGGCCATGTCCATCGAAGGTCATGACTCGCAAGTGGTGCACGTAAGCTCAAGTCCGTTCTGATTGCAGGGTCTTGCTCTGCAAACACAAAGTAACTGGTGTGGATGTCGTAGATTGAGCTCGAGCCCGAGCAATGTCTTCGCGCGGAAACAGGTGCCATGATATACATGACCGATGGTGTGAGTATGGAGACGACTACTGCTGGAGGTCTGGGTGAAGGCGTGAAGCGGTGTGTGTGTGTGTGTCGTCCCTGTCATGCCTGCTTTTCATTGAAACTCTAGTAACGTTGACTTTCTTGTGACGCTTTGCAGATTGATGACTGGAGAAAACTTCTTCGTCTCTCGATTTACATACCATGGCAGTGAAAAAGGCAAGGTAGCTCTCGGCACCAGTTTCCCTAGTAAGATTGTGCATCTACGCCTGAGTGACTTCCTTGGCGGGTCCATCATCTGCCAAAAAGGGGCATTTCTGTGTGGCTCCGACACGGTCAACATTGAAATGGTACGTAGTTCATTGCGGTTACCATGCAAAGCAAAGAGGCGTGATGACACGTGAATGTTGTACAGGAGTTTACCAAGAAGTTTGGTGTCGGCTTTTTTGGCGGAGAAGGGTTTGTTTTGCAGAGGCTTACAGGTAACGGCGATGTGCTTGTCCGCGCCTCAGGGACTTTGATCACGCGCGATCTGCAGCCTGGTGAAGTGCTCCGTATTTCAAGTGGCTGTCTTGTCGCGTTCGAGCCCAGCGTGCACTACGATATCACAATGATGAAAGGAGCGAAGAATGTACTGTTCGGCGGCGAAGGGTTGTTTGTGACGACCCTCACTGGGCCCGGTAAGATCTATTTGCAGAGTTTGCCATTCGAACGTGTGGTTGGGGCAATGGCAGCTCGAATTCCTCGCAATGGGCCAGGCGGCATGATGTTCCCGTTTATGATGGGCGGCGGCGGCGGCGACGGCGATCAAGGCGCCAACGCAGGTGCAGCCGACGAGGCTGCTGGTGCAGAACCTGTTGTCGATCGTGAAGAGAGTGTCGGTTCGGGAGATACACGAGATGATTGGGACGCGAACGACAGCGATATTTACGGTGGTGGCGGGGACAGTGACTTGGGCAATGACGGCACTTTCGACGACCTCGTTGATGGCGGTTCCGAGGAGTCAAGCGGCGGTGGTATCATGGGATTCTTCGACAGCCTGTTTGGCAACGACAAAGACTAGACGAGACAGCGTTTGGTGGCAGTATAGGATGTCGTCGCGTGTCTAGTGTCGCTGACTCGTGTAAGGCGAACGAATCCAAGCGACCAATGAATGCATTGTCAAAACCGAATGCCTCGTCGTCTTCTTTTTTCTGGTGGTTCAACAACTCGCCCGCGATTTCCGCGCAACATAACAAAGTAGTGCAACATCTACCGCCGCCACATTCTGAAAAGCGCTCGAGGGCAGGCCCCGAAAGGTATCACCCCCATCGCAGCATGGCAGACGACGACGCGGCTTCTGTGCGTGTGGCCGTGCGCATCCGGCCGCTCATTGGCCGCGAGAAAGTCGAGCGCTGTGACGAGTGCGTGTCCGTGCTGGAGGAGGAGAAGCAGATCGTCATGGGCAAGAACCGCGCCTTCACGTACGACTACGTGTTCGGCAAATACGCCCAGCAGCGCGACATCTGGTGCTGCGTGGACCCGCTGATCCGAGCGACGTTCGATGGCTACAATTCCACCATTTTTGCCTATGGCCAAACAGGTTCGGGGAAGACGTACACTATGGGCAGTGGCAGCGCGGTGCACATTCCACCGGAGGATTACGGCATCATTCCGCGAGTGATTAGCTACATGTTCGATCAAATGGACGTGAAGATGCAGGAGAACGAGCGCTACAAGGCCACGCTTAAGATTCGGTTTCTGGAGATTTATGGCGAGGAAATCCACGACCTCCTCGTACCGCTGGGAGGCTCGACAGGAGTCAATAAGGTCAGTTTGCGTGAAGCAGAGCATGGCGAAGTGCAGGTGACAGGAGCTTCGGAAGTCCAAGTGACGGACGCTGATGAGTGCATGAGGTTGCTCGAGAGGGGCACGTTGTGTCGGACGACGGGCAGCACACTCATGAACGCCCACTCGAGTCGCTCCCATGCTATTTTTACTGTTACCATTGAGCAGCGCATTCCTATTGGTGACCATCCTGCTGATGGAAGGGCGATGGAAGACGGCGACTACGAGACGAGAAACTCGTACTTCAATTTTGTGGATCTCGCAGGCTCCGAGCGCCAAAAGAGAACTCAAGCAGAGGGCAAGCGGCTGAAAGAAGGCATCGACATCAACAAGGGTCTTCTTGCACTCGGAAACGTCATCAGCGCATTGGGAGATGACAAAAAACGAGGCAAGGTGCACGTTCCGTACCGGGACTCAAAGTTGACGCGCATGCTTCAAGATTCTCTGGGCGGCAACAGCCGAACGCTAATGCTTACGTGTGTGAGTCCTGCCGATGTGAACTTCGAAGAGACACTAAACGCGCTCAAGTATGCAAATCGGGCGAGGAACATCCAGAACAAGCCTGTGGTCAACCGCGACGAAGCATCAGCCATGACCATCGAGTTGCGTCGTCAGGTAGAAATGCTGCAGATGGAAGTGCATCGACTGCGCAATCCAGGACTTTCGGAAAACGAGCTGAGAATGGACCGTGTGGGGACGGACTTCATCGGTATGACGAATGACTTTGACTCATTCGGCAACCTTCGAACTCGTGCTGAGAATGCTGAAAGCGAAGTGGCTCGATTGACAGCTGAGCTGAAGCGTGGCAAAACCCAATTGGATCATTTGAAGGAAGAGATGATCGCAGCGCAAGCAGAGCGCGACTACTTGAGGCTGTGCGTCGAAGAAAGTGCGGGTGGAAGCTCTATGTTGCCAGAGGAGAAAGAGGCAACGTCTAATGTCCTGAAAGAGCAGCTTCGAACAATCTATGACTTGCAAGAAAAACTGCGCGCAAGTGAGCGGGACCGCGACAATGTCATGATGCATTATCCGGAATCGACGAGCAGCAGAAAGGGTTGTGGAGTCCGATCATCAACTGCTCGCGCATTCGTCCTTCCCTCCCTGCCGGACGTCGATACAAAGGTCAGTGGTGATGAACTTCTTGAAAGGGCGGAGAAAGAGATTGAGAGAGAAACGGCTTTGCTGAATAAGCTGAAAGAAGGTGATAGCGGCGATGGCACCGGCGATGACAGTGATGAAAGCGGAGTCGATAACGACGGTAATGGCTCAGCGGACGGCATTGAAGTCGAGGAGGAAAAGCAAGAGGAAGTAGATCGTATGCGCGTGTTCCAGCGACGCCAACGTCACCTTGGCGAGTCAGTCCAAGACCTGGCTCACGATATTTCCTTGAAAGAGCAGCTGGTGCGAAACATTCGCCAAGCCCAAGAAAACTTTGACCGGATGAGGAGTTTTTACGAACAGAAGATGGCGCAGATGGTGGAAGAGATGTCTAACGCCGAAGTAAACCGTGACCGTCTCGTGGAGGAGATCCAGCAGATTGAAATGACGGCAGCAGCTGGAGGTGACACGTCAGGAGAGAATGGGCGACTGGCAATGCTGTCACGAGAACTAAAGCTGAAGGAAGAGGAACTTCGTACGCTACGGAAGAAGCAAAATGACATAAGCCGTTTTATGAACCAGAAGAAAAAGAACGAAATGCAGCTACGTGTACTGAACTCGGAGATTGGCAACATGAAGCGGCAAAAGGTGGATCTGGTCAAGAAAATGCAGGAAGAGAGAAAGCGATACGAAGAAGAGGCTAAACAGCGGCGCCGCGAGATTATGAGCCTCAAGCGCAGCCAACAGCGTGATAAGCAGCACATCTTGCGCTTGGGTTCTCAGAAGGACGCGCAGGAGCGAGTACTTAAGCGAAAGATGGAGGAAGTCACGGCTGCGAAACAAAAGCTGAAGCATCAGCAGCAACTGACAGCCGAGGCGAAGAAAATGAACGCACTTTACGGTCGGAAGAAGACTGTTGTATCTAATCGAGCTGACCGCGATGCCAAATGGTTGTCCGAAGAGGTGAAACGGCGTGCCGAGGAGCAGCAAAAGCTGGAGCAATTACAGAAGGAACGAGAGGCTGTCGTGGCGGAGATGGAAATACTTTATGCTCAGCGAGATAAGCTTGAAAAGGAAGTAAAGAACTCGATTGCATCTCAAACGAGCGTCCTGAATGTGCTAACTCCGTCTACGCAAAGCTCACCGCACAGCCGCCCGAACAACGAAGAACAAGAAGAACAACTTACTGCTGCAGAAGAGCAGTTGCTCTTCGACTTGGAAGAGCGGATCGAGGCTTGTCAAGCCCAGCTGGAGTACAAGGAAGAGAAAATATCGGAGATTTCTGACGACGTGCAGGTGGTTGATGGAGGCAATGCGCTCGCGAAGATTGAAATGACACAGTCGTTGCCTGAGGCTCGGACGCTTTTGAAAACGCTCTTCGGTATGGCAGTTGATGTAAAGAAGCAGGATCAGCGAAGGGAGCAAGAACTTGCCAAACTGCGAGTCGAAAAGACCGATCTTGTCCGCCATCTTGAACAAGAGAGAGAGAAAACGATGCAAATGAAGCAGAGTTATGAAGAGTCCTTGCAGCGTGTGGCTAACGGTGGAACAAGCCTTGGTGAGCTGTCCTCCGCGCATGAGACGCTCGATGAGCGCAGTCGAGTGTTGTTGTCTGTGTCTGAAGAGAGGAATGCCGTATTGAAGAAGAAGTGCGAAGAGCTGGAAAGGTTTTTTTCCACGAGGGATCGAGACAATCAGTTGATGGAAGACCGTCTGCTACAGGAACAGTCGGATCTTGCGGCTAGCAAAGAGCGGGTCCAATATCTGGAAGCGAAGTTGAAAAAGTTAAGCGCTGTTGCTGTCGGCGCAAGCCAGAAACCAGGCCGATCCCGCAATTTGAAGGGCAACAAGTTGGCGGCCGTGCAACGGCGAGCACAACCGAGGCCGATTTCCTGGACCAACGGGCTAGATGATGATGATGACGAGGATATGGGTACGGACGAGCACGATGACGGACATGAGCCGGATGGCAACGAAGATGCCTTCATGGCAAGTGATGACGACGACGCCAAAATGTATCGTCAGCTTGACAACGATCACCGCCATTTTGGGATGGAGCCGGAGAGCGTGGGTGGAAGTGATCTAGAACTCGGGTCGATGTCATTGCAGCAAAGGTCGTTGCTACTGCAGAATGACGGTGGAGAATATGGTTTCCACGGCGATGATGGGAGAGATGGTGATGCAACGTCACCGCACATGTGTAGCGACGATTCTTCTGCCGCATCAAAATCTATTTTCTCGCGACTGTCAAACCCGACGAATTTCACGGGTATTCACAAGAACCGTGTGCGGGAAAGCGCTTCCAAGCGTGAAGTCCTCCATAGCCGCTCGGAGCGTAATCGTGCCAGGCGACTGAAGGACAAAGGGCAGCTCAAGCCATCAAAATCGTTACATGCTTCGACGGAACAGTTTGCTGGAGCGCCTGCAGGCCTCAAGAATCCAGCTTCAGGCAAGAGCAACTCGGTCTTGGAAGTGCTCGCCAATCTGAAGCGAGAGAACGAGTTTGAGCAGCATCACGTCAGTAGCTCGTCCAGCTTGCGACATCCGATGTCCTACGTCACTATAGACCGACCAAGGGACTACAGCAGCGACGACAGAGAGTTTGCTGTCCCAGGACCGCCGGCTCCGCACGATGATGTATACTCGCGTTTAGCCGGCCAATATACGGCGTCAGCGAAGAGCAAACGTCAACCTGCGGTCGTTTCTGCCCGTCGTGAACATGTGGGTGCAGAGGAGAGCCCCGGGAAAGCCTTGTTACGCAGAGTCGAGTCAGGAGACAATGCGCGCGTCAACGACCAGCATGGATGTGACGAAGGTGCTGATTATACTGGAAGCGAGAACGAGTTCAGCTATGATCCGCTTCTCGGTGGAGACAGCCTCGTGAAACAGGTTCATGATGACTATCGGGAGCGCATAGCCCGACGGAACGCCGATGCAAGGAGCCGATCCGGCATCAAGGACTGAAACACAGGCCGCCTTGACCGACTCGCGTGTACATTGGATCGGCAGGTAGTGTAGGCGTGTAGAGGAACCGAGATTGTGCCACCTGCAACATTGACCTAACGGACGAGCAATCAGTATCAGCGCAAACGATGCTCGGAAAGCATACCACTGTCTTACATTCCCAGCAAGTCGTTGTTACGCATCAAAATAACGTGAAAGAAGCACTCCAGGAGCTACGCACTAACCAGCATCTCTTGTTTGACGCAGAGGTACTGCTGGTACGTGAGCTTGTGACACGAGGCCCGGTATCGTGTGACCCTGACGGCTTTCAACATAGCGTCCGTGACCCTACGGCAATAGCCCGCTTTTCTCATAAGAGACGTGACTGCCTCAACATGGGTCCACCCGTGCTCGCGAGCTACTTGGGGCAAGTACGTGGCACTGTACTCGTTGCCGCGCGAGTCGGTGAACTCGACAATGATCCCGTGCGTGCCAATCTATCCCCAGTACATGAGCAGGGATCGTCAAAGATCCAGCAGCCACAGTCACTCAATCAAAGTCTATGTGCTAAAGTAGCAGTGCCCACCTTCCAGTCGTCGTAACTCTCGGCGTCCTGGTAGTCCAGCAGCAGCGACACCGAGCAGCGCAGACGCTGCAGCTCCTGCGGCCCAATGGGGTCGAAGCGGTGGTCGCGCAGTGCGCTCTTGAACGTGAAGTCCCGCAAGTTGCATAGACTCGTGGGCTTCAGCGTCCCGATACAGCCACGTAAGTGGGTCTTGCCGTGCTCCTCGATCTCCCACGTCACAAACAGTGGACTGCCGTGTCAAAGAGGAAGCAAAAGCGTTAGCACGGGGTCGAACATGCGTGGGGAAACGAGCAAAAGGCGCGTGCATCTGTACTATTGCTGCTGCACATTGAAGCGCGGCGCTGGCTCCACGTCGCCGTCAAAGTGCGACTGCAGCGTGTCGAAGCAGTACACGACCATCGCGGCGCTGGCCATCCTTGGGCCTGGGAAGTCTTCGAGTGGGGCTCACGTGCGCCTATTGGTTAAGAAAAGGACCTGCTCGAAGGGATCTTTACTCAGGATAGAGATCGACTCCTGTCTCAGCTATTTGCGCTCTCGAGGGGCTCGCGACTCGATTTTGCGTTTTATCTCGATATTTACGGATAAACGTCCATGATGTGTACGTGGAGTGTTTTCGAAGCGATTGTTGTACGCACGAATGTTCGCAATGCCTTGTAATTTCCACCAATGTCGTCATAGAGGAGGCACAAGTTGGTCCTTTGTGTTGCTCATTTACCGCGTCAGCTCTTGGAAGGAGCGCTTGTCAACACACAGATTGATCCGTTCATTTTTGCGTCATCACTGTAACGGGGTGAGCCTGTTACATTAAAATTTGGTACGAAAGTACCATTTCGAATATTAACTGTTTTGATAATATTCGATCAACATCTCTCGAAATGAGTGATGTTGTCAGATTATTATCGCTAAGGATAATATCCGTGGAGGGGTCCACTTCTCGGTTGATGTACGGTGTACATCAACCAACTCAACCACCAATCGCTGCTGGACGCGCGCAATGGGTGGTGAGCATGGGACCCACGTAGGAGAAGATAGTTTAACATAGTTAGTGTAACGGGGCACACCCTTGCGTAACTTAACGCAAGGGATTTGGGTGCCCCGACGGACGTACACGTGGCAAGCGAGGAAGCGTAGGTAGGGTAAAAGTAGAACTGTTATATTAATAAATTAAGTCTTTAAACTACTGTCTCTTCGTTTGACTTAATTCAATTATACTAATATAACTGCATGTATGGTGACGTCTCGTCACCACTCATTGCGCGCGTCTTGCGGCGATTGGTGGGTTGATATCATCACGATATCAACCAATGAACAGACCCTTTGGTCGACCCTTCAATATCACCACTTTGGTGATATTGTTTTAAAGAATATCCATCTTTATATTCTTTATTGTCACTTTCCTTAAAGTGACAATTTCATGTAACGGGCTGCCCCGTTACATCACCGCCCCCTTAACTGATAGTCACCGTGAGACTATCGAAAACATGGAGGCCACCCGTTGGCCACCATTGGGACAGGGAGCACTTGTTGGGTCCGTTCCATTCACTTTCCGCTTGACCTCGCATAGTTAACATGTCTATGCGAGGTGACTCAAGACCCACACAGCCTGGTGCTGTGCAAGCCTCTGCGGCAGACGCTTCGTCGTCTGCTGCTCGTTCTTCGCCTGCAGCAACAGGTGCTGCAGGTGCACGCGGTATCACACCGCGTGCGCACGATGACCCTGATGTAGAGGTCATCTACTCTGGCGAGTCAGACGTGTCTGACTCGGGCAATGCTCCAGAGGCGTCTCGCTCACCGGCGACGCCTCAGTATTCGCCAAGACCACTGCCGAACGAACGGACTCGTGATTTGCATCACAGTCTGTTCGGCAGTGATGATGATGATGATCAGGGTGGTGAGTTCTATTCTTCACCACCGCCGGCTCGTGCGTCTTCGCACGAGCGTAATGACGATGGCGCGAGCCGTCGTCAATCTGGGAGCCGTGGTACCGACAAGGGTACCACTGTGAAGCGTGATGAGTTGAAGCCGTGGCGTTTGCCCGAACAACTCATCAATAGCCTGTCTCACGAGACAGGCCAACACCATCGAATACCCTTATTCGATGCAACCGAGCTTCACGGCTTGAGTCCCAGCGCGAAGAACTTTCGCGCTGAAGAAGACTTTTATCTCGATGTCTTCCTTAGAAATCGATGGTACAACAACAACCAAAAGCGTGACAAAACATCGCTTTTGGCTGCGTGGAACGCGTTCGTTCAAAACGTAAAGAATTTTGGACGAGAAGGGTGGCTCAAGAAACTTGAGGCAACACGCCTCAGGTTCGAACGGCGAACGCCAACCGGTGCTAGGTACCGGTTGCATTGTTTATCGAGTGAGGCAGGCATTCCTTGCCTCACATGGGGAGACCCTTGTGCGAGTTGTGTTGACAACTCGCAGCGTGCACATAGGGTTGTGTACTCCCTAAATTCGCCCTGGGGAAGGGCACATCTCTCGGAGGAGATGCGTGACGCGATTGCAAACTTGCAATCCGTCTACAAGCGCCTAGGGCGCGTGTTTACCGATGGGCCACAGGACTCATCGGATGGGTCTCGTCATACTGGCGGACGAGACCTTCAACATCCATCAACAGCTGAGAGCGGGGCTCCCAGCTGTTCCAAGAGGGTGGATACCCCCGCCACTGGACAAGGTAGCTCGTCCTTGATCCTGAATCGTCACGGTGATTCAAGATACGCTCCACTAGAAAGCGTTGATCACCGTGAGCATCCACCAAAGGATGTGGTGGAGGAGGAAAGACCTCCTCCAGATGATTCTGTTCACCATCTCGACCCTTACGAGATGGATCGCGCAATCGATGAATTGCGCGATGACTTGAAGCACGAGCGCGACCGACGCTACGCTTTGACCGACACCGTGCGGAAGAACCGCAAGGGTCACGAGGCTGATCGGGCGAGGGATCGCGCCGATTATGCCACGGCGCAGCTTCAGGTCGAGCGGGATGTCCGCTCCCTATTCGGCGAGCTGGCGACAGCTCGCGGGGAGATATCTCGGTTGAATACCGAGGTATCGTATCTGCGCGACCAGACGGATCGTCTGGAGCGCGAACGCAAGAACTTGATGGATGTTCTTGAACGTGGGGGCTATCTTCATCGGAAGAAGAAGGCTCGTACTGACAGTACGACCTAAGCCTCCCCACGTAAAACGTAGGATGCGTGCGCATCCTACGTGGCAATTCGAGTGTGTATGCATTGCCCTTGCGATGCAACACTCGAAATGGCCCAATGTATTTCGGCAGTAGTTTGCTACTGCCGACACTAGTGACTGCATGTCCAGGTAGGTTTACCGTTGACAGTAGTACTAGGTCGTTAACTTTAAATGAAAGAACATTTGCTCTTCCATTCTTGTCTGCGTTCCGTTTCTGACGGTCCACCGCATTTGCGATGGAGTCCTGAACGAAACGGACTACCGCTTCTCGAGTCAGCAGGAAGTTCTCTGCTGACTCTTTGTTTTGTATTTCAGTGCGCTTCGTGCGCACTGCTAAGAGATTGCTCTCTTCTTCAGCGAGGTTGTCTTCTTCCTCGCTGACATAATCGTTGGCGATGCTGAATATACCAGCATCGTCATCATCATCCGAATCAATAATAGCGTCTTCGCTATTATTGAGATGATCTTCTTCATCGATGTCGACTTGATCGACATCGGCATCATACGTGAAGACGTTTGCGTCGACACGTGATGAGCAAGAGCCAAAACGGTTTTTGCTCGAGCGAGTCCCTCCCCCCTTATCCAAGAGTTACACTCTATAATGGTGGGCACTCGTGGATGGCGTAGGCCATTCACGTAAAACGGTGTGTGCTGTGTTGAAGCATGCACCGAATTATTGATGGCGAATTCCACCATGGGTAGGAATTCGCTCCAACTCGGAAACGAGTGGACATATCCTCGAAGAATCTCTTCGAGGACACGGTTCGCACGTTCCGTCTGACCATCTGTTTCTGGATGGTCAGAAGTGGACATCTTCAATCGTGTTCCGAGAGTACGGAACACGGTTTGCCAAAATTCCGCCGTGAACCGAGGGTCACGGTCGGATACGAGTTCACGGGGTAACCCGTGGAGTCTAAAGACCGTGTCTAGAAAGACACGAGCACAACCTTGAGCCTTGATTGACTCAGGGACAGCAGCAAGATGGACCATCTTGCTGAATCGGTCTACAAACACAAGAATACCATTATTCTTGTGAGCGTCTTCGGGAAACCCGAAGACGAAGTCCATTGAAACGGACTGCCAGCACTCTGTCGGAACAGGCAGAGGCTGCAATGGCGCACGGGATGAAGGACTAGGCTTCACCCGTTGACAAACTTCACAAGCACGTATGTACTTGCGAACAAACTGATACTGGCGGGGCCAGTAAAAGTCACGACTTACCGTGAGGTAAGTCTTTTCCCTTCCACGATGGCCGCTTGTTGGGGCATCGTGACACTCGTACATGATGCGCAACCGCAAATCATGATGAGCGGGTACGACGACACGAGGCGTGTCGTCGGCAACAGCTGTATAGTACAGCAATTCGTTGCGTGTACTATACCGATCCGATGAGGATCGGTACAAAGCCGGTAAATCCCTCATGTATTTACTGGATGGATTCACCAGATGATCCATTAATCGCAGAAGATCCTCATCTTCCGCGTATGCCTTTCTTACGTCGTCAAGTAAACTTGACGACGGGACACTGTCTCTCAGTTTCGCAACAGTGGGCTTATCCTCACTGTTGGATTGTGCGTCCGGCTCGAAATCGGGCCGGCGCGAAAGCGCATCAGCGACGACATTGAGTCGTCCCGGTTTATACTCCACGGAGAAGTTATACTCCGCGAAGAAAGACAGCCACCTCGCCATTCTTTGCGAGAGGTGTGGGCTGTTTACGGCCGTGCGTAATGACGCATGGTCCGTGTAGACAACAAACGCTCTATCTCCCAAGAGATAGACGCGAAACTTAGCCAGTGCGTATTTCATGGCAAGGAGTTCCTTGTCATGCACTGGGTAATTGCGCTCAGCTGCTTGCAGCTGACGCGACTGATAACAGATGACGCGCTCCGCGCCATCTGCATCGAACTGCATTAACGCACAGCCGATTGCAAAATCGCTGGCGTCACAGACCACATGGAATGGTCTGTCCTGATCTGCAATCACCAAGATCGGCGATTGCATCAAGCTCCGCTTGATACCTTCAAAGGAACGCTGGCACTCAGCGTTCCATGACCACTTGACATTTTTCTTGAGCAAGCAAGAAAGATGAACAGTCATCTCGGCGTAGTTGCGCGAGTACTTGTGCAAGTTATCCGCAAGACAAAGGAACTTCCTTAGTCCCTTGACATCGACTGGCACTGGCCAGTCGGTGATCGCCTTGATCTTTTCGGGATCAGGGC